TTTTCCCCAAATGATTGTTAAAATAGCATATTCCAACTTTACCAAGTTGTGGTGTAAATGTTTTGAATCTCATTTATGTTCTGGCTTTTTTTTTTTTTTTTTTTTTTTTTTGAGAGTTCAAAAATATATTTGATAGTTTGTAAATACTTGTCTATCCTTTTTTAATTACTTGAGCTGCTTCATCATGAGCAAACCATCTAATTACACTTCAGCTCTTTAGAGAAAAATTGAGACATCTCTGTGTTTAAAACTCTTCATCTTAATGGAGATCCTGAAAAGAAAACATGCTACTCTTGCAAAATGTTAAAATAATCCACAGCTTCAGACACAATACACTCCCTTTTCCAACAAGGTTTAGAAAATGGGCTGCATGTGGTACCTAATCTGTGTATGTGTTAATCTCTTTTTAAAGAGTGCTTGCACCTTCTTATTTTAGCTGCAATTATGTAGATGGTTTCAAAGAAAAGCTTATATTAACACAAGGTTTGTATTTTTTTTTTTTTTTTGAGCAAGGAAGTTGATAAATCATTCTGCATTAGTAAACATTTAATTTCTCACAGGGTTTTCTATTGCATCACTATCAAACCACAATTACCAGCTGGTCAACATGTGTCAGGTTAAATGTAGTGTCAAAAATAATAGAGTAATATTTAATAGTTGATTTGAGTCACAATTTAATCTTGCACATGTTTTATCATGATCTCTGTCAATTCTTCAAACATGGTTCCATACAGCTAAGTCAAATTTACATTTCTAGAGATGTTCATGTAAAAATAGGTCAAATTTTGTAATTTCAATGGCTGCCATGTTTCCATTATTTGATGAGATCCATTTCTGATGATCTCTTTCATCTGAAAACTTTCTAACCATTACAATTCTTTTCAGTATTTCAAAAAAATACTGCGTATTTTTTCTCATCTCTTCCACAAATTGTTGAGTCAGTGCTTTTGATTTTCTTAATTGAACACATTGTTCTTTGTTTCAGGCTGTCTTCAATTTTCTATAATTCTGAGTACATTCATGCAATAAGAAAATCCACCTGCTGTAACAATTAGCATTTAGAAAAGAGTGAAGCGAATAAAGAAAACAGTAACCAGCGAGTAAATTTAAGCTCTCCCAGCTGGTATTCAACCTTGAGTCATTCCTTCTTGAGTTCTGTCTCAAAATCACACTAACTGCCCGTTCTTGCCGTCAACCGTGAACATCCCTCGAAGAACTCCCCGACTCGGAAAAAAGTAGTTGCTTTTATAGTTGTTCATATACCCATTTCTTCATGTGATCCCATAATTCATTGCGTCCATGTCCCATAATGCATTGCATCTTTATTGCATAAAAATGCAATGCCAGTCCCCCCTCATTCTTTTACGTTATCTAGCCGAGGATGGATTACGGCAGAGCGGTAAGTGCTTTTTTCTCTCCCTCATTTCAACTGCAGTAGCTTTACATGCTAAGCAAATACAGGCTCTTTTTTGGCGGGGACAAGGCAAGTCGCGACCAGTTGTGCTTGTCCCAGGTTCTGTCTCATGTACGCCACAAAGAGTTTACAAATATTATTTCCATTCTTTGCTCTAAGTAAACTAAACAGGTTTTCATAGGACCATTTATAAACCCTATCAGATTTGGGATTTTATTATAAAATAATAAACTGATGTCTTGCATTAAAAATGATGTACAAAATCAATGCAAAACAAGGAAAAGATATAATTGAAAGTTTACCAAAAGTAAAAAAAAATATCAACAGAAAAAGTATTAGTTCATTCTCTAATAGAGAAGTAGGTTATCAAAGGAGTTTAAGATAAAAGGGTGAAAATATGATTTTTGGTGTTAAAGTGTACAATCAAAACAAGTTTAAGTTGAATTAAGAATCCAGATGTCTTTTTATGGTTCTGATTAACTTTAGCTTAGGAGTTGAATTATAGACAATAACAGAATTGTTATTAAACCATACATCAGCGAAGGATTCAAGCACCCAAAAGGTAGGTTACAAATAGAAGGATTCAATGCCAAAAGGTAGGTTACAAATAGATTCTAGTTAGCCCAGTTGGGGATACAGGCACTTCAAAACTATATGAAATAGGTATATTCTAAGATCAATATTAAGTATTTCAATCTTTTTGTATTAAAATTCAATCATTAATTTGATAACAAACATTTAAAAAAAACGTCCATCAGTTTTTATTGTTATTGAAAAATTAATTCATTAAAAGTTATTTCCAGGCCTCTCTGGGATTTGGGGCCCTTTTGGTAAAGCTTTATTCACTTCATAATAGATCTGCCCTTGAATATGGTTATTTTTTTTATTTTTTTACAATAAGGTTCACTCCGTACAAGGTCCCTCACTCGAGGTAGAGGGTTACATTAAGGAGTAGTGTATATGGCTAGAAGGAGGAAGATAATAGTTAAATCTACACTTGAACAGGTTAAGATTGTAGTGTCCATGGGACGAAGCTGTTTGTGTGGAACTTACTTCTTGCCGATGGAAGACAGAAGAAATGTGGGTGGTTTGCTACTATGTAAGTGACATGGCAGGTCCTAGCCATGAAGGTTAGGCCTGGCAAATCCAAGGAATGTAGTTTGTTCAAGCAGTTTCCATGGTAGTAGTGATAGAGCAGTGACAGACTTCCCACGTCCTGCCTGTGAGAAAGAGATTGGAAGGTGGAAAATAATTCTCCTTCAACAAGGACTCAAATGCACTTTTGAACTGTATCAAGACTGGAAAGTGAGGACTGGGCAGCTCTCACCCAAATATGACAGCAGTACTCCATTTTGGGTCTGATCTGGTTCTTATAAAGGCAAAGGATAGCATGAGGAGTTTGGTACTTACAATATTATAACAGGAATGTTTAACTAATACAATTATTTTAAGTATAGTCATCTGTAATTATTCATAACTAGCAGTAGAGCCCGGTGTTGCCCGGGGATGTAACAGTAAGATCAAGTATCGACCATCATAAAGACTAAAAAATAAAATTGACAAAGATTATTGTTTAAGGTTGACGGACACGCATGTCTTAATTTAGTTTATTTTTTCTTTTTTTTTTTACGAATTGGTCAAACTCAAACAAAAACATTATTTTCAATCGTTATGAGTCTACCGATTGAATAGAATTTTATTATAAACAATTGTCTTATAAATAGAATTTTTAAAGCATTCTGAATGTAAAAATAAAGAAAAAAGTGTGCAAGGCAATAAGAAACACTACCTGCCAAAAAAAAAGTGAAGTTTTGTTGAAATCGGTTGAAAAATGTAGGAAATCCGATCCCATATATAAACGAACGAACACACACACACAATCAACCTGGGTTTTATAATAAGTATAACTCGAAATGAGTTGTTCCTCTTTCATTCTCGCGATTACTCTTAATCGTGTTTTCAAATTGATTTTGTGCAAAAACAATTGTTTTTCCAATTTTTGGCACTGTCAGAACCACCGCAAGGTAATTTTACGTAGTCCTATGAAGTTTTGTTGAAATCGGTTGAAAAATGTAGGAAATCCGATCCAATATATAAACGTACACACACACACACACACACACAACCTGTGTTTTATAATAAGTATGATTTAGAGAAAAATCTTAATTCAATATTTTGTAACTTAATTATTTCGAGGCAGTGTAAGACTAGTTGAAAAATAATAGATAAACATTGATAATATTGCAGTTAACCCCCAGTTCACTAATTTAGATTATTTATCTCAAAAGCCATGAATAATTTGCTCATAAGTAAATGTTTTAATAATAGGAACTTTTCTTAGGTTTAATTTCATCATCATTATAGACATGTAAAACATGTTCTCTAAAACTTATCTATCATATTAATATTTTAATTTGACTAAAAAAAACTTCATTTGTTGATCTAAATTTTATTTTCCATTCATATTTTATGGGGTTAATTTAATATTTTAAAAAATGATGTACACTTCATGTTTAAAGCTTTTAAAGAGAAATAATCAATAAACTTTTTAAAATTCAAATTATTATTTTTGAATAGAAGGATAATTTTACTTCTATATATAATTTCATTTTATTTTTTAATTTTTTTTTTAGCAGTATAGAAAAACTGCTTTTGGAGTAAACCAAATTTAGAATTGAAACCTCATAAGATGTCCTCATTTTATAATTATCTTCAGACTATCATTCTAAAAATAAGTTATTAGGAGGAAAGGAAACAAGAACTGATCAGTTCTTGAATTATTTTGAATGATCAAATTATAGCTTTCTCTTTTTAGATTTTATGTGTGTGAAAGAAAGAAAAGTACTGAACACAGATCAATAGTTAACAAGGACTTGTTCTAATGATTAATAATTAAGTTTTCCTTTCTTGGATGCCCCCATTAATATATCCTTTTGCAAAGACATAGAAAGATATGTATTGTATCTATATTTGTTTATATATATATATATATATATATATATATATATATATAGTATGTAAATCTATTTAAACTCAATGGATGAAAAAACCTGGATAGCACAATTTTGAAATAAATTGGTATGGAAAAAAAAAGAAAGCACTAGAAACCTCTGAACAGAGTGAAAAAAATCGTCCAGTACCTTAAATCTCTGGTACAAAGCCAGTTCACCCTTATGATCCCATGTGGTGAAACTTAGGTAGGTAGTACCTGGCTTACTAGGATTTATTTATTTTACACACACACACACATATATATATATATATATATATATATATATATATATGCTATTATATTTTTATAGGTTGAAGTGATCCATATCAGGTATAGAGAATATGTAAATATAAAAGTGAACATAAAAAAAAACCTCCAGAAGTGAGAGTCTGTTTAATGCTAAATGCAATCATCATGGCCTGACAATTGTTTAATATGAAATAGACTGTTGCCTCTGGGTGTTGACTTCAATGTCCACTTATATATATATATATATATATATCCGTAATTAAATTGAGAACAAACAGAACTTTTAAAAAACATTACTAAACTCAAAAATAGGAGAATAGGAAAAAAAAAAGTATAATGATTTACCTTCAGTACACAATTCACCAGTCCATCCAAATTCACAAATATTTTGTGGACAGTATCCAGTTACTGGGTCACATGTTGCACCATTCTTACAGAAGCCACAATATATTGAACAGTTGGGTCCATATGTACCATAATCGCAGTCTAAGAAAAGAAGAGAAATTTAAAACACATTAACATACAATAATACAATTTCATTACTTAACTTTTTTTTTCTAAGCTCCATCTTTCAGGATGTAGGTGATCAATGCTCCCCACAGATACCATTTCTTTATTTACAAATTCCTGGATTTCTTGGAAAAGCTAGTAGAGTGATTTACTGCTGCTTTCTCCAGTTTGCATTCAAGTCAATCCTTTGCTTAGGGCAATTAACATCCAAGCCTAGGTAGCCCAGTCTATCCTGCTATTAAATGCATAACTGGATATGAGAGAAAAAAATTATTTTCTTGTTTTTCCTAAGTGTATTTCTCTGAAAGTGAATGAGTGATACTAAACCAGAATTTGAATTCACTTTGCTGCTTTTGCCTTGTCTACTGATAAATTACACTATTTATATGTCCAACTAAACTATATTATATACAAGTATAGCACATGTCAAAAATGACAGGAGGATTTATATCTGGATCAGCACCTCTGCTTAGAATCAAAGTATCACACCTTGGTACTTTTGTCAAGGATTTTGAGTATAGTTCTGTATTTCTCTGCGAACTTCTTTGGCTACAGTTTGTGCCATGCTTCTGTCTGCAGGTGGTTCCCACTTTAGTAATGAAGGAAACCTTGACTTGGAGATTACAATCTTATGGTAGTACTTCCTCCACTGTACTAAAGAGGAAAATGTCAAAGTATACTGATGCCTATATGATAATAGGTATGGAAACTGGGTAATTTTTGTTCTTGGATTATACGTGTACACCACAAATGAAACCAATCATGTATCATATCCTACTATCATGTGAGAGTGGTAGGTAAATGCAGGATCAGAGTATTGTATCTGTGCACTATGTGAAAAGTAGTATATACACAAAAATAATGCACACACAAGTTGTTTGAAATGTGATGTCCGAGGTAGATGCTGGTAGCATTGTAGTAGAGACTGAACTTTTCTGCCAATAACCAATATTTATGATCTTGTTATAGATAGCAGATAAATGGCAATTTGGTAAAATGGCATCTGACTTGAAAGTGCACATTGAATTTCTCCATGTAATTTCTTGTTTCTTTTTAATTAAAATTAAATTTAAAAAAATTAAAATGCTAATTACTGTTACAGATATTTATTTGAATTTGTATAACCAATGATATCAGATTATTAAAGAGAACACTATGGTTTCTGCCTGAATTTCTGGAATGGGGAGTTATAGTTTACATGCAGACTATTATCCTAATCTTTGTTGTTGTTGTTATCACAATGTTTCAGCTGTTGTGTCTCTGGCCTTCATCAGGTGATTATTAATTCAGTTTTAACCACTGCCCATTGACATGGCTGTTTCACCCCTTACGCCTACTTAGCTTTTATCAGTTTCATCATTAACATATTTTGGGTGGTAAAGGGAAAAAAAGAATCATATCTTGAATTTACAACAGTGAACTTAAAATTTATTTCATCAAGTTTTGGCTCTTGTACATTAAAAATGAGGAAAAAATTGTGTGTAAATATCCATAAATCAAGACAAGAATCTTTGACAGTAATACTGGTGGGTAATTGAATGACAAAATGGAAAAAAGATACTGTGTGCTGCATTTTGTCCTTTTGAAAAGATTTCAGATTAAATGTTTTTACTATTGGAATCATATGTAGAGGAGGGAAGGAAATAAAACAAATATTTTTTATAGTTATATATTGAGAAATGCTGAAGATTCAAGAGTGCTTAACATTAAGTTTCTTGCATCTGCTGAGTCTAGAAGCACAACCTAGCTGATCTCATTCAGCTTCCTACTGTTTGTTTTTTAAATAATGTATAATATCTTATTTTAATTTTGACTTTCCTTCCCTTAGCACAACTGTTACGTCCTGCCAATACCTCACAAATAATGGACTATTCCATTTTGATTCAGGGAAAGATGGAAAAGACATATCAGAGATGCTACTTGGTTTCAGTGAGAAAATGAAAAAGAAATAAGGGAGGATAGAAGTATTTAACGTCTGTTTCAGTGGAATAGAAAAAGTTGTCAATTTTAAATCTTTTCATTTGTAGCCCCTTACTACTTCAAATAATGATCAGCATTCATATTTATGATTGTTATTGCAATATTTTGTTAAAGTTAAGCTGATAAATTTAATGATGTGACAGATATTTTATTGTCATAGAACTCATCATGAGCTTATTTAATCATTAACTTAAAAATTAAGATTCATCAGAAAATTCAAATAGAAAAACTATGAAATTTTCATGGGTATTTTGAGTAAATGCATATTACATATTTCCTAAGGAAATATATATTTTTTCTTCTGAGAATAGCATATCTTTTTGTTATTTCAAGTCATAAAATATTCTTTTTGATTCAAGATTTGCTATTTCCTTAAACATTACTAAAACACAATGACAAATAGTTAAGTATTGTCCATTTATTTCTGAGGATTATCATTTTGTTAGTTTTAGTACAAATGTCACTTTTTTGGTCGAAATAACAAATCTAATATACTGATTTTAATATTTAGTAGTATTATAATACCCAGTGGGAATTATTAAAAAATAAGTGTAAAAAAAAAAGTGACAAAAAAATAGTCAGCTGCCTAATAAGTTATTAAAAGCAGCTTGATGGCAGGAAATGTTGAAGTGTTGTATGGGAATATCTCTACAGGTATATTATAGAGCTATCCATAACTAAGTTGTGTTTCTTCTATGTGACATATCCCTTCAGAACACAGGTGATCATGGCTCTCTATAATAACTTATTCTTTATAGCTTGAACCTTTGTCATGCCCCCCCCCCCGTTTCACCATCCATTCACACAAGCTGCTCAAGATTGGCAGCCCACTGCCTTCCCTTGTCCTTCTGCCCTTTATATGCCCTGTGAGTGTTATTTTTCTAAGCCTTCCTTCTTCATTATGCATCCAAGAAATTTCAGCTACCTCTGATTTTGAGTATGTATCCTTTTGGTTTCCATTTTCCTTAAGAATTTTAAATTGTTTACATGCTTTCTCCATAGTATTCTTGACATTCTTCTGTAGAACCACATTTCTGTTATCTCCAGTTTTCTCTTCATCTGTGAAGAAATTGTCTAGTATTCACTGCCATACCAGAGGATTGAGAGTACATAACAGTTTGGCACTTTTTTCTTTGTTTATTGAGTGTAAATGCAGGGAATTTAGTGAGGTCTGCAACATGTTAAAATCTAGTGAGTATGGAGGTCATTAGAGTATTTGGAAGCCAGCCAAGTACTTCTGGAATCATGATATGGGTGAGGTTGTATTATCTTTCTGGAACAATTCATCACCACTGGGGAAGAGCCAGCATAAAGGAGTACCGAGTACCAGTGGTCTGAAAGAAGGTCGCTGTATATTACATCTGTCAAGAGAGTCTCTAGTTTCACTAGTGACCCATACAAGCTCTAATAGAACAAAGCTGGCACAATTACTAACTACCAGCTTGCACAGTACCTTGCTGAAAAGTTGAATCCAAAGCTCAACTTGTGCAATTTCTTGCAATGAACAAATCTTCACATGTCTGATCATGAACTGGAGATAGAACTCGACTGACCACTCAACATGGTACCAGTTGTCCATGGACCAATGACATTGTTTTATAGTTTAGATCAGTCACAACCAATGACATAGTGCCAATAATGGTATCCTTGTAGGTAAATGACTAAAAACTCTAATGAATAGAGTATACTGTAAAAATGCAATAACTGTAAGCAGTGCCATGACTGAATTGGGATACAATCCACAATGTGGTGCAATCTTTGCTTTGCAGTGTGGCCCAGTCTTCCTCTTTGCTTTGTGATGTGGTGCAATCTTCCTCTTTGATTGGCAGTCTTTTATGACCTGTAAGCCACTGCAGTTTTCACATGCTACTGGTGTCTGTTTTGAATTCACTTATTCCTGGAATACACTTGCTATTGTTGCTGGATAAAAATCTAATACACTTGTTACCTTGGAAACAGTGTCTTATCTTTCAGGGCCCAGCAACCATTCTGCTTTCAAATAATGGTGAATCTTATCTGCATGGTTGACACAGCTAAACACAAATCATGTAGTTGAATCTATTTCTATAAGCTGGAGAGGGTAAAATTATCCCATATACTGCTGTACCTAATTTTTTGGTTATTCAACTTAATTCTCCCCCTTATTGTTGGCTATAGCATTGAATTAGCTTATTGTTGGCTATAGCATTGAATTAGCTTATTGTTGGCTATAGCATTGAATTAGCTTATTGTTGGCTATAGCATTGAATTAGATCACTTGCTTCTGTTTTGTCAGTGATCTGGTTGTTTGATACAAGCTGATGAGAAATTTCAATTAGTGTGAACATATAGAGAATGAAGATAGTATCTTGAAAAATAATACACTTGATTAATTACTGGCATTATGTTAACTCATAACTTTTTTTTAACTGAGATGTTATTGTCTGTTTGATTAAATCAGTATTAAAAATTAATGTTTAAAATGCCAGAATACAGCATTGACTCAGAGTTGGAAATTTGATTAGGCTAAAGATAATAAAAATAAAGAGGACTCTACAAATGCTGTCTCTTCAAATTATTATAATTATTTTAGTTATCCAAAAAAAAAACCTTTTTATTTAGCTTACTTCATAATGTCAAATTAATTTCCAAGCATTTAATTCATTATTTATTATCCTATTATGACTCATGTACTCAAGCATAGCAGAAAGTTAAGAAAAAACAGCATGATAATATTATATTGATAATAAAACAAGTTGAATTATGGGCAAATGATTGAAGATGGAGGTGAACGTTTTGTTTACAATGTCATCTACTGACTGCTACAAATAATCCTATAAGTAAAAAAAAAAAAAAAAATGTACCAAATTCTACATGAATAATCAGCAAACAGAATGATTTGCTTAAAAATGGAAAATGTTCCACCCAAATTTAATATAAGACAGTATTTCTTATAAATACTCAACTGATGAACAATGAAGACTTGATGTTGCAGTTAACTCCTTCCAAGCATGAAATATTTAAATTGCTTATGAGCACAGAAGTCAGTGGTCATGCAATTTTTTTCTGCAAAGTTTAACAATTCTATCTACCAAAAAAAAGAAAAAAAAAAAAACACAGTGTTAAAAGGACTGTTTTTTTTTTCCTATTGACACTGCTATTATTGTATGCTCTCTCTCAGCAAGTTTTCATTGTTTTAAAAACTATTTTTAATTTTAATAAAACCCAAACTTATGAAACTAGATTTATACATTCTCTTTTTTCCTGAGAATTGAGAACAAAAATATTAAACGTTATTCTTGTAAATAAAGTAGTCTAATAAATAAATAGCATTTTTGTTGTCAGTTCTCAATAAAAATAAAAGTATATAGATGCTAACAAACTATTTTAGTCATTTTATATGGAGAGAGCAAATGAAAAGATTCCCAGAAAATGAACTTTTTTGAAATTTATAATTACAGTTACTTATTGTTATGTGTTTATTTAAATTTTCTTGTGCTCTCATTCAGAAATCTTCATAAATGTCTGAACAAGGATAAGAAATAATTGTTTTCATACTTATTTCTTTATCATATATTAAATGATGACAAATATTGCATTGTAGATTTTCACACATTTTTATACACCTGTAAAAATAAAATTATTCTTGTAAATAAACAGTCTAATAAAATAAAGTGTTTAATACTTTTGTTGTCAGTTCTTGAGAAAAAAGAGAATGAATAAATCCAGTTTTATAGGTTTGGGATTTATTAAAATTCTAAAAAATAAAATCTGTTTAAAACAAAGATAGAATAAGTAACAGAGTATACAGTAATGCTGATGTCAAGAGAAACACTTCTTTTTTAACAGTCTTTATTTCAGAGACAAATGTTAAACTTTGACATTTTTATGATTTGATAATTCCAAATTCCTTTGCAAAATATACAAATGCAACAAAGCTTTGTTGTTTAAGTGAAGCTTTTTAAAAACTATAAATCAGGAGGAAGCTGAAACAGAATTCCTTCCTAGAGGATCTAAGCAGGTAAAATGCAAAGTGTGCCAAGTTCTCAAGTAAAATTAAATCAATAACATGGAAAAAAAAAATTATTTTCTTTTAACAAAAATTTTATATTAATATTTGATAATATGCGATTATTTTAAGTATGGCTTTTAGGTTTTTCTTTTTCTTTCTTTTTAATCTGAAGTGTTTATGGGAGTGTTTTGATAGTGTAATGAATATTGTCATGCAATTGCTGAGCTGATTTCACATTCTTGGTTAGTTTATTGCATTCACATTTTGTGAAAGGCTTGAATTCATCTCTTCTTATTGCACCTATTGAGCTAGGTTGATTGAGCTCTCTACCCTTGGGTGGCAACAAGTTTAAGCAAAGAAAAACTTTGAATTCCAAAGCATGGATAAGGTAACAAAATATCTCCACTATATTTCCCAAGAATGCATGCCAATTCCCAGGAATCTGGAGTCATAATTATTTGCATCTTGAAGGGGCATCTCTTTTCTTTATGTATTTTACACTAACCAAATATAATTCACTTTTTGTGGCAAAATTTGTTCCTATTAAAAATGTTTAACTTTAGGGACTTTTTTCTGAAACTTTTAATAAAATAAAACAAAATGATTGCAAGAAAACAAATCTTTTATTACTTACTGAGGGAACAGTTCTTTCCTTTCCATCCAGGTAAGCAGCCTGACAGGCATTCTCCAGTTGATTTGTTGCAAATTTCCAAATCGTCATTACATTTGCAAGTTCCGAGACATTCATATCCAAATGTGAAATCATTGCATACTGTCAAAATATAAAAAATATATGTCTGTATACTTTTTCTTATAAATGGGCCTAGTATCATGATTTACAATTTTTTTTTTTTTTTTTTTTTCAAATATTCTTATCAGATAAAATACTAGTTTGACCAATGTATAGAATAATTATATTGACTTCTCAGATTTTCAGACAAAAGGTAAATTTGTTTTGTAATTTCCAGAGTCTATCATAGCCTATAGAGTAGAGGACTTTTAAAACATTGTTAAACTTTGAAACTTGCTTACAATTTCAACTTTGATGTTCAGATAAAAGTCTGTAATTAGGAAAAGACAATCTAAATAAAACAAATGAAAAATAAAAATAAAACCTGCTGTCAGCTATGCAATTTCATATTAGACTCTATATATTTACCTATATATTGATATGTTTGAAAAGTATAGAGCCATTTGATATTAACAATAACATATATCCTAGCTAGAGCAATGGCACATTAATTCCTTTAAAGGACACACTTTGGAATTTTATACCTTTGTCAAATATGTATGTCTGCCATTCATCCTTGCTTTGAATACTGCTACCACATCTGGTCTGGTTCTCCTATATATTTAGAGATTCTTGATAAAATCCAAAGAATCTGCAATGTTATTGGTCTTGACCTGGCATCTCACTACTGTAATGTAGCTTCCCTGTGACCTTTTCTATAAATATTTTCATGGTAAGTGTTCTGATGTACTTTTCTCTATGGTACCTAGACTTTATGAATTTAAGTGCAGTACTATATTGGTGGCAAGGTTTCATCATTTTAAAGTTAAAATGGCTACTTGTAAGTTCTATGTTAGCATTTTCTTCTATCACACTTCTTGCTTATGGAACTCTCTTCCAGCTTCTTGCTTCTCAGTCAACTTTGACATTGCATTTGAATTTCTGAAGATCACTTGTTATCTTCTGTTTTCTTAATTCTTTTATTGTCTTCTCTCTTTAATAGTAGTTTTTCTCGTATTCTCTAACATTCAATAAACTCTTGCATCCTAGTGGCTTTATTGCCTTGCTTGGGGTGAAATGATAAAAAAAATCATTCAGTTGTCTTGTGTTATCTTTGTGTCCACAGTATTTCAGTGGATATTTTTTTCTCTACTAAATACAAAGGTCAAGAATCATTAAGACATACTGTTAAAATGGTTATGAATGAGATTGGATACGAGTGAGAGAAGAGGTTATAGGAAGTGAAGATTATGAGGATAAAGTGAATAGATTGACCCTTGACTTAAAGAGGTTAAGAGCCAAATCTGTATTATAGGGATGGTGCTGACAGATTTAGATGATGCAATTATTTACCAAAAATCCTACAGGCATTGTACATAGTAACAAGATCACTCAGTAGTATTTTACTACTTAGTAACTTGCAGGATGTCTGTTCATGAAAGCATGCTAAGGTTCCCCACTTCATTGGTTGCCAAGTTATATCAAAGCTGAACAACATTTTTTTTTTTTTTTTTTTTTTTTAGATATTTAAAATGGCTTGATACATTTCAGACAGACCTTGTGTATAGTTTTTCTCTTTAAAAAAATCATCACAAGCATGCACAGGTCCCACAATTATCCTTGTGGTTGATTTTTTTTTTTTTTTTTTTTTTACAGCTTATCAACCTTTTTCAAATTATTTAATATCAGAAAATATTTTTAGATTGTAAAAATTTTTTGGAGATAATTATTTACTCATACAAGTCCTACTAATTAACCCATAGCTGGGAGGAGAAGAGGTGGATTCATATCTTTCCCAAGGGTATTTATACAGGGTGTCCTCCTAAAAAGCTACTCAGATATTCATTTAAAATATGAATATATAAGTAACTAGATGTTCCCGGCAAAAGAAATTAAATAGGCTTAATGTTAAACAATAAAATATTTATATATCAAAATTTGAACTAGATATTCAAAAGGGAGGCAGATTTTATAGCCCATTTCATAAAGCTTCACAAATTTTCAATATGTGAACCACCTGTGGCACAACACATGCTGAGTTATTAGACCAGCTCCTGCCAAACACATTGTAGCATGTATTGTGCAACATTCTCCGGCACCTAAGTGATTCTCTGCTTAAGTTCCTCTAGGCTTGTAGGAAGAGTAGGTTCCAATTTCACTTGCACCTGGTATTCATAAGTGATCACACATCTAGACAGTGACCAGGCTTGATGTTGCTTAACTTCCATAATTATCTTCAATCTTGATTAGTTTTTAATTAAAGACAAACTATATGACCAAAAATGCCCCAATAATATCTTTTCTAACTATAAAAAAAATATTTTATTATATTCTAGAGAGAACTACTATTTATAAATCAGAAAAAAATAAAAATTGTTCAAATTTTGGTCTTGGTTACTCCTTCATATCTTTAGTCTTTAGAATTTAATCCACTTTTTGCAGGGAATTCTTATAGTAAAATTATTTGTTTCAGTAATAGCAACAAATAACTGCTATATCAATTACTGATTTTGACAAATTAATCCCAAGTAATATTTTTGCCAACCTGCGTAGATTTTTGTACTTGGTTTTCAAAAATATTCACTGTTGAAATAAACTAAATTAGTTACAAATTGTTAACATTTGACAAGACAATGTTTTAAGGGAATTTTTGGTAAAAATATTGATGGATGCCAATTTTAACAAATAGTAAACATTGAGCCTCAGCTAACTAATTTGGACTTCAACAAAAAAAAGTGAAAGGAAATAATTTCTCAAATTGAAAATATTTATTTGAATTAAGATCTTAGTTATATAAATTACCTGTCATAAAATTCAAAATTTGCATGAGTTTATTTACACATGATTTTTTTTCAATGGGGAAAACTTCAATAAGAAAACTAGTGTACTTTGATGATCATAATAAACTTCCCTTTTCTTTTTTTTAATATGTATTTGTAAATAAATAAGGGATACTAATCTGTAAATAGTACTCGGTAGTTAGTTCCATTAACAAAATGGTCATATAACTCGCGATGGACAGGTGATTGGCATCTAAACCAGTTCCCTCACTAGCTTTGTTTATTGGTGAGGAGGGTGACATAATCACCCCGTAGGATGAAAAACTAGACCTGTCAAAGAGTGGATGAGCTTTTTATAGGAGCCAACATATATATATGAGGCTAGGATGGAGTCTAGAGCCTTGAATGACAAACTTCCTAGAGATGGTGTTTCAATAAAAACCCTTGGTGTACTTAGACTAACATAAGTGTCTGAGATAGACACCAGGAAGAGCATCTGGCCTTGAAAAACCTTGCCTCAAATCATTGACAAATCCTATATCAAGCTGGGCCCACCTAGCTTTGTGCAAGATTAATCCCAGTCCTACCTCAACAAGTAAACATGGCTATTGTATGTATACAGAACCATTCACTATTAAGTTGCAAATCCTCTGTATATTTTTTTACATTCATTTATGCATTTTCAGGCTATCTTTATTAAATACAATTATGTGTATTGAATTATTATCATCCTTGAAAAATCACTTATTTTATTTTTATTTATTTTAGTTAAACATTAAAGAATAAATAAATCTGAACAAAGTTTTAGGAACTGAATAATATTTTTTCTTCTAAAAAAAACTATAAATTAATTTTTATGTTTTTGTGTAAAATCATAATAAATAAATAAATTTAAAAAAAAAAAATTTAATATTTCTGGTTGGTAATTGATAATGCCTGTGTCCTTGATAATTGGGCAATTAAGGATATAATGCTAAACTCAACTGCTATAATCTTTTTAAGACATTAAATATCACAAGCAACAATTTTGTATATATGAAGATGAACTATATTTTTGCTGTTAGCATAACTTTTAATGAATGTTTAAAAAAAAAAGAAGAAAAAGTCTGATAATCAAGTTATTCTGTTTGTATACACACAGAAGCCTACATGAAGTGACACTTTCTTTTTTCTCAGATAATTTTTATTTAAATAAATAAAAATTCAAACCAAGCTGCATGTATTGCAAAGTAATTGTGGAATTCCCACTAGATAGATTCAATTAAAGAACATTCATGTCTTTCAATATACTGCCAAAAAAAGTGTTACAGGAAGGAGAAAGAGAAAGTGAGATGGAAGGGAGAGAATAAGAAAAGGAGGAGAGATGAAGAGAAAGAGAAGTAACAAAAAACAGAGACAAAACTGAGCATTGAAAAATCTTTTATAATGATTTGAAATATTTTTATGACTCCCACTTTTTTAAAATGTCATAAAAGGTAGATGATATAGATATACATATTCCATTGAAAGAAGTATATATGCAAGATAGTTTTGTAAAAATATCTAAGACTTGTATAAGGCTTCATTCAGATGAGACAGAAAGTCATTTGCTAATAGATACCCATTCTTTCACAAAAGACTTTTCTTACAATGTATATTAACACTAGTTGCTATAACAGAAAAAAAATGCCTGTGTCAACAAGCATAATGCAAGTATTCTATTTTATTATCAGAACCATCACAACAAAGAACTGTCAGTATTACATAAAAACAAACAAACTTGGATATTTGAACATGAAAATAATGTTCAGATGTTAGGAAACACTTGCAAGTAATTGGTTTAAGTTATATTCTGGAAAAAAAAACTAGGGCAATAATTCTTTACATGAAAAGACATCTAAGCTTTTTCATGTTTATAGAAATCATGAGCATATTGGACAGTCAACATTAAAATATCTTCTATGTGCTGTGCCCCTTCAGCACATTCACAATCATGGCTCTCCACAATTTCCTGTCTTTTGTAGCTCTTAATAAATTTTTTTTTTTTTTTATCTCTCCTCACTTGCCATTCATTTACTCAAGCTCATGAGGTAAGTCATGTATTTTTTTCCTCTGTTCCTCTTTCCTTCAAGATGTACTGTGTGTATAAAATTTTTTAAACCACCTTTCCTCATTATGTATCTTAGAAATTTTATCTCTATTTTTCTGATGTTGAATATGTGTCCTTTTTGTTAAAATTTTCCCTAAATCTTTGTTGTTGCTCATATGTTCATTCCATGGTAT